AAAAACAAAACAAAACAAAACGCACGCATGAAAAAATACACACAAAGCACACACAAAAAAACCCGCGTCAACCGGCAAAATAAAAACAAAAAATAACTGGGATAAAATACGATATCATAAGGAAATGCAAGCTAAGAATAAAGCTCATGAGTAATAGTGCAGCCTAATCCTCTTTTATTTTAATGAGCAGCAGATAAAACGAGAAATTCAAAAGAGATTATACTAAAGTAGAGATTTATTTCATTAGAGCGGTATTCATGTGCGTGGGCGATGGACCAGAAAAATAACCAATTAACAGATTTCAGGCTAGGGTATTTATTCAGTGCCATTAAAAGTTGATTTTAGTTTCTTTCTTTCTTTCTTCCTTTCTTTCTTCCTTCCTTCCTTCTTTCCTTTCTTTCTTTCTACCTTTCTTCCTTTCTTTCACCTTCCTTCTTTCCGCTAAATAGTCCGATTGTTCTCTCTTTAATTTTTCGTAGTTAATCTTAATTCACTTCCTCTTTTTCTTACCTCGTTTTCTTTTCCCTTTTCTTATTACTTATAAGTTATAATACAGTACAGTAACTTAAGGAAAAGAAAATACCAGGTGATGATAAATATAGATTTTTTTGGATTTGGTTTCAAAACCCTCTCTTCTGCGTCCAATTTTAGACTCAGTCTACTATATCAGATAACACCGCCTCACAATCATGAATACTAAAATTAGAATTATTATGGTGCGCAAACAAAAACTGAAGTAATGAAGCAAAACGCTCTTATTTCTCGTGTCTCCAGTGTGTTCTTGAATCATTTCAATACTTGAAAAACTAAATAAATAAAGGCTTAATTTTATACTATAGCTCGTCTTGTGCTTTGTCGTGCAAAGTTTCGAGTTGCGCAAAATTTACAAGGTTTGGTTACCGCGCGCACAAACCTATAAAGTCAAAGCATTGATTCCTTTCTTCATACAACTCAATCAAAGAGCTTAGCAAATTGAATTCGAAGGATTAAATTCAACAAACAGTCCTATTCGCTAAAACAAACCCCAATTGTCCCAACACCATTGTCATGACAACGCAAATAAGATGAAATCATTTCTTATCATCTTATGTTTATTCTTGAAATGATCATCTTTAACAGAAAATATTTTAAAAATTTAATTCCTTTTTCTGCGATATGGATAGATTTAAATGTTATAAGATAGCACTTGAACGATTAAACTGCCTTATTTATCTTCAAGTCTGAGTTTAAGACGTCTCGTTTGATATGAAAATACAGATTGCTTCTGGTTACTTTATGGCCCGGGCAAACACTGAAAAAAATAAACAAGTATACTATATTTCCTTGAAAGCCTTAGTACAGGAAGCATTTTCTTGACAGACAGTTTGGTTTTGTCAAAGCTGTCTTTCCATGCCGTAGATCTTGGCATTGCCAAGTAATCTTGCAAGACAGCAGAGAATGAAACTCTTGAATAAACTCTTAAGAAGATGAAAACAGTACTTTTAGCTTGTACTATCTAAAGTGTGTTGTATACATTGCTCGCTTTATCGCATTTACAGCTAATTTAATCGATAGAGAGCTGAGTAACAACACTATACTTGGATATCAATAGAAAAAAGGGGTAAATATAAGTAAAAAAGAAAAAACGAAAACAAAAATAAAATAGAAAAAGATATTGGTGATAGTTTCATTAGTTGTGTCCGTACCGTAAAGCCACTTGTTGTTTGTTCTCCTAATAACATTTTGGATCCGAAAATGAGAAATATTCAATATTTTAAATACAACGTAATGCCGACTTTTCAATACGTTGTATCTCAAATTTCATGATTTTTTTATTACAAAAAGCCTCATTATCCCCTTAAAATGTCAAAAACAGGACCACTTGGTTGACTATTGATTCAATATTTTTTCTTAAATACTGAAAATGAGCAGAGCTCAAGTAGCTTAGCATCGAATTGTGATATTTATTTTTTTACTACAAGATGAACACTCACCTTGGATGAGACGAGATGAAACCAAGAGCAAAGCGACAGTGATTACAGCAGGCAGAATCAGCCTCATGATGGATAACTAATTCTATAAGGAAAAAAATCTACAATCGATCAAATTGGTCGACTAAAAGTGAAGCGATTAGATTCAATATTGACAGTTTAGTAGGTTGATGGAATAGTATCCGGTTTCATTAGTATGACCGAGATCATTTTTGGGGGTGGGGACGGTAGGTAGATATTGTACTATCGTAGCCAATCAATCTCACTGATTTCACCATCACACCATTGACTTTAATTTTCTTACAAAAATGTAAAAGGTTTCATAATAGAATTCAGAATAGACTTCGTATACAGTACGGCACACGGCACGGTCACAGAAATGAAAACATCTTTTGGACCAACACTGAGCGCAAGACTAATTACTCATGCCCACATTCATGTTCACGGCGGCATGGCGTTTCCTTATCATGGATGATGTATTTATATAGTTAGTTGTAGACTTTGCAAAGTAAGGTTGAGGCGGCGTTTCGACTTCAAATCTCTGCATAGATGTTTTTAACGTTGGGCGTTATGCTTTTCTATTCCATACCACGTGTCATTCCCTAGAGTATTATTTCTTTGTCTAACGGATGCACATGAGAAGACACTTATGATTATGGATACACCTCAAACAAAGAATCTTATTCTAAGGGAGGAATGTTAAGTATTTTGTGAAATTTAGTCACAAGATACTCAAGATTGATTGAGAGTTTGACGAGTTTATTTACTAACCAGAGTGGCCTTTAGTCACAGAAGGTTATTTAAGTTGTTATTCATAGTCTTTTCGTTCTGAGCTATTTTTTCCCAACTGTGGTAACCTATGAAATGTAAGTAAGCAAACACGAAACTCGTGAAACACTTGAACTTCGAGTGAAATTTAAAGCTGCGCGCAAAGCAGCTTGAAATAGACTTTACTCGAAAGGCCTATATAAAGGTATAGAGTTTAGATGTGTAGATGGCCATCATTACGTTGGTGTCTTTACGAATATAAGAATATCCGATTAGAGCCTAAACGCTACTTAACTCTAACTTTAATAGGCTCCAACTGAATTTTATATATTCAGTTTCCTTTAGATAAATTACTCGTTTTTTGTTTTTGTTTTTAAATAGCGCAATTAACCAACAGAATTCATAATGTTAAGCAAAATCCCAATGATCTGATATGCAGGCCATACTGGGTTTTGATAAGGTATGCCAAAAAAAAAAATTATTTATCGGCCCAAACTGAATAGACCTTTCCCGAATTCGCTTGACTGACCACGAAACAATGGTTTGAAGTCGAGACTGAACTTGATTCTTTTATTCATCAAGTTCAACCTCGACTTGAAACCATTATTTCATGACCAGTCAAGCGAATTCGGGATAGGTCTATTGACCAATACGGAGACCTTTTACCTTGTTGGTTATGTTTACCCATTTCATTCCACGTGTCATTCCCTAGAGTATCATTTCTTTGTTTAACAGTTGCGCATATGAGAAGACACATGAATATGGATACAACTCAAACAAAGAATCTTATTCTCAAGACAAGAGGTCTGAAATGGGACGATGTACATTCAATATGCTCATGGTACATTGGTCGGCTTGTAGACATCCAGTTGATCGTGGACTTGTTAAGCTGCCGATACACGCTGAAATTGTGTCTCACGCTGGCAAAGCAACGGAAATATTGAGATTGCATTGCCAGCGTGTATCGGCTGTTTTAACACAACAAACGGTGTAATGTCTAATTTAGTTCCTGTGCGCCCTGTAGGACATGTTAAGCCAATTGACATTGGCCTTCCATCAACCAAGAAGATTAGTTAGCCGAACTTGTATCTTAATACTTGCGTAATTTGCTGCTGACACTGGCGACCCTTTCGCTCAATCAGCACGATACTCGTGTGTTTGAAGCTACAGCGCTGGATCGAGCTGAAACGAAGCGTTCGAGGTCGAAAGTCATATATCAGTCAGCAACTACTCTTTCGGAGTCCGAACGTCATTAAGTATTTCTTTGAAACTTTTTATGTTTGTATTGCAGCATGAAAACACTCTCCAAACTCACAGGATAGACTACCCAGGATACCTCTTGGCCTTAAGGACGGACCGTTAGATAATTGAGGGGGGAGGGGGGGGTGAGTAAACCCCAAAAATATTATCGAGCAAGCACCTACGGCAAAAGAAAAAAAAGCGCAAAACAATGAATAAATAGATATCGTGCAACATAAATTCCTGCCACTTCCCCCCCCCCCCCTTCAATTATCTAATGGCACATCCCTTAGCTTCCAAACCCCTTCTCTCCACCTCGTCTTCTATTTTAGACAAAAACATGTTGGTTTTTGGCTCCCGTTTAACTCACCGCGTTGACTCGAGCTGCAATTCATTGTACAAAAAAAAAAAAAAAAAAAAAAAAAAAAAAAAAAAAAAAAACCAGTGTACAGTGACATACTTAAAACGAAGGATTTCAAATGGGACGACAATGAT